GAGACGGTGAGGCAGATGGCGGAGGTGTCGACGGTGAGGCGGACGGAGTCGTTGCCGAGGGCGAGGCGGAAGAAGGCGACGCCGAGGGCGAGGCGGACGTCGGCGGCGTTGACGGTGGCGGCGGCGAGGGCGAGGCGGACGGCGGCGGCGGAGATGGTGAGGCGGATGGAGGAGGTGGCGACGGTGAGGCGGACGGAGGCGGTGGCGAGGGCGAGGCCGACGACGGCGTTGGTGAGGGCGACGCGGACGGCGGCGGCGGTGACGGTGAGGCTGATGGCGGAGGTGGCGACGGTGGCGGCGGCGAGGGCGAGGCGGACGGCGGCGGCGGCGAGGGCGAGGCGGACGGCGGCGGCGGAGACGGTGGCGGCGGCGAGGGCGAGGCGGACGGCGGCGGCGGCGAGGGCGAGGCGGACGGCGGCGGCGGAGACGGTGAGGCAGATGGAGGAGGTGGCGACGGTGAGGCGGAGGGAGGCGGCGGCGACGGCGAGGCGGACGGCGGCGGCGGAGACGGTGAGGCGGATGGAGGAGGTGGCGACGGTGGCGGCGGCGAGGGCGAGGCGGAAGGCGGCGGCGGCGAGGGCGAGGCGGACGGCGGCGGCGGAGACGGTGGCGGCGGCGAGGGCGAGGCGGACGGCGGCGGCGGCGAGGGCGAGGCGGACGGCGGCGGCGGAGACGGTGAGGCAGATGGAGGAGGTGGCGACGGTGAGGCGGACGGAGGCGGTGGCGACGGTGAGGCGGATGGAGGAGGTGGCGAGGGCGAGGCGGACGGAGGCGGCGGCGAGGGCGAGGCGGACGGCGGCGGCGTTGACGGTGGCGGCGGCGAGGGCGAGGCGGACGGCGGCGGCGGCGAGGGCGAGGCGGACGGCGGCGGCGGAGACGGTGAGGCAGATGGAGGAGGTGGCGACGGTGAGGCGGACGGCGGCGGCGGCGAGGGCGAGGCGGACGGAGGCGGCGGCGAGGGCGAGGCGGACGGCGGCGGCGTTGACGGTGGCGGCGGCGAAGGCGAGGCGGACGGCGGCGGCGGCGAGGGCGAGGCGGACGGCGGCGGCGGAGATGGTGAGGCGGATGGAGGAGGTGGCGACGGTGAGGCGGAGGGAGGCGGTGGCGAGGGCGAGGCGGAAGGAGGCGGCGGCGAGGGCGAGGCGGACGGCGGCGGCGTTGACGGTGGCGGCGGCGAGGGCGAGGCGGACGGCGGCGGCGGCGAGGGCGAGGCGGACGGCGGCGGCGGAGATGGTGAGGCAGATGGAGGAGGTGGCGACGGTGAGGCGGAGGGAGGCGGTGGCGAGGGCGAGGCGGAAGGAGGCGGCGGCGAGGGCGAGGCGGACGGCGGCGGCGTTGACGGTGGCGGCGGCGAGGGCGAGGCGGACGGCGGCGGCGGCGAGGGCGAGGTTGACGGCGGCGGCGGAGATGGTGAGGCGGATGGAGGAGGTGGCGACGGTGAGGCGGAGGGAGGCGGTGGCGAGGGCGAGGCGGAAGGAGGCGGCGGCGAGGGCGAGGTGGACGGCGGCGGCGTTGACGGTGGCGGCGGCGAGGGCGAGGCGGACGGCGGCGGCGGCGAGGGCGAGGCGGACGGCGGCGGCGGAGACGGTGAGGCAGATGGAGGAGGTGGCGACGGTGAGGCGGAGGGAGGCGGCGGCGAGGGCGAGGCGGACGGCGGCGGCGGAGACGGTGAGGCGGACGGCGGCGGCGGAGACGGTGAGGCGGACGGCGGCGGTGGCGACGGTGAGGCGGAGGGAGGCGGTGGCGAGGGCGAGGCGGACGGCGGCGGCGTTGACGGTGGCGGCGGCGAGGGCGAGGCGGAAGGAGGCGGCGGCGAGGGCGAGGCGGACGGCGGCGGCGTTGACGGTGGCGGCGGCGAGGGCGAGGCGGACGGCGGCGGCGGCGAGGGCGAGGCGGACGGCGGCGGCGGAGATGGTGAGGCGGATGGAGGAGGTGGCGACGGTGAGGCGGAGGGAGGCGGTGGCGAGGGCGAGGCGGACGGCGGCGGTGGCGAGGGCGAGGCGGACGGCGGCGGCGGAGATGGTGAGGCGGATGGAGGAGGTGGCGACGGTGGCGGCGGCGAGGGCGAGGCGGACGGCGGCGGCGGAGACGGTGAGGCAGATGGAGGAGGTGGCGACGGTGAGGCGGAGGGAGGCGGTGGCGAGGGCGAGGCGGACGGCGGCGGCGGAGACGGTGGCGGCGGCGAGGGCGAGGCGGACGGTGGCGGCGGCGAGGGCGAGGCGGACGGCGGCGGCGGGGACGGTGAGGCAGATGCAGGAGGTGGCGACGGTGAGGCGGAGGGAGGCGGTGGCGAGGGCGAGGCGGACGGAGGCGGCGGCGAGGGCGAGGCGGACGGCGGCGGCGTTGACGGTGGCGGCGGCGAGGGCGAGGCGGACGGCGGCGGCGGCGAGGGCGAGGCGGACGGCGGCGGCGGAGACGGTGAGGCGGATGGAGGAGGTGGCGACGGTGAGGCGGAGGGAGGCGGTGGCGAGGGCGAGGCGGAAGGAGGCGGCGGCGAGGGCGAGGCGGACGGCGGCGGCGTTGACGGTGGCGGCGGCGAGGGCGAGGTGGACGGCGGCGGCGGCGAGGGCGAGGCGGACGGCGGCGGCGGAGATGGTGAGGCGGATGGAGGAGGTGGCGACGGTGAGGCGGAGGGAGGCGGTGGCGAGGGCGAGGCGGAAGGAGGCGGCGGCGAGGGCGAGGCGGACGGCGGCGGCGTTGACGGTGGCGGCGGCGAGGGCGAGGCGGACGGCGGCGGCGGCGAGGGCGAGGCGGACGGCGGCGGCGGAGACGGTGAGGCAGATGGAGGAGGTGGCGACGGTGAGGCGGAGGGAGGCGGTGGCGAGGGCGAGGCGGAAGGAGGCGGCGGCGAGGCCGAGGCGGACGGCGGCGGCGTTGACGGTGGCGGCGGCGAGGGCGAGGCTGACGGCGGCGGCGGCGAGGGCGAGGTGGAGGCCGGCGGAGGCGTGGGCGAGGTGGAGGCCGGCGGCGGCGTGAGCGGCGGCGGCGGCGGTGTGGGGGAGGTGGAGGGCGGCGGCGGCGTGGGCGAGGTAGAGGGCGGCGGCGGCATGGGAGAGGTGGAGGGCGGCGGAGGCGTGGGCGAGGTGGAGGGCGGCGGCGGCGTGAGCGGCGGCGGCGGCGGTGTGGGGGAGGTGGAGGGCGGCGGCGGCGTGGGCGAGGTAGAGGGCGGCGGCGGCATGGGAGAGGTGGAGGGCGGCGGAG